TACAAGAAAGAAATCGAAGCGCTATTAGAAAAGGGCTACGCGGCACTCTGCGACGGAAGCGAAGAAGAGAGCCCTAGAAGGTGGTACCTACCACACTTCCCCGTTTACAACCCAAATAAGCCGGGAAAGGTGCGCCTAGTATTCGACGCCGCCGCGAAGTCGCACGGAATCTGCCTCAACGACTTACTACTGGAGGGGCCGGACTTGCTGCAATCGCTGCAAGGAATCATGTTCCGGTTTCGAGAGCGTCCAGTCGCGGTCACGGCGGACATCCAAGAAATGTTCCTTCGCATCCGCGTGAGAGAGGAAGATCAGCCAGCTCAGATGTTCCTGTGGCGGGACAACGCGGATGAGCCGCCACGCAAGTACAAGATGACAGCTGTAATCTTCGGGGCATCCAGCTCGCCGTTCATCGCGCACAGCGTGCGCAACCGCAACGCAGATGACTTCGCGCTCACCCATCCGGTCGCGCACAAATCGATCACGAAGAACCACTACATGGACGACTTCGTCGAGAGCTTCGAGGACGTCTGCACAGCGAGGCGCGCGGTCAACGAAGTGGTCCACGTGCACGCGCAAGCAAACTTCAAGCTACGAGGTTGGAACTCCAATTCGACGGACGCACTAAGGGACGTCGAAGAAGGACTGCGACAGGAGAGCACCACACATCTTGCGCCGTCACCGGACAAGACGCTCGGCCTGCTATGGGACGCCGAGAGCGACCACCTGGGGTTCAACACGGCCCTGCACCGAGTCCCGGAAGAAGTCGTCGAGCGACGCCGACCGCCTACAAAACGAGAAGCATTGGGAGCCGTCATGTCCCTATACGACCCGTTGGGACTACTGAGCCAGTTCACCATACGAGCGAAGATACTTCTTCAGAACCTGTGGAGAAAGAAGTTGGACTGGGACGAGCCACTGCCGGAGGACGAAGCGAATGACTTCGACGGATGGCTGCACGAGTTACGAGAGAACGTAGCGCAGCTGCGCCTACCACGCTGGTACGGCGCGGCGAGGCGCAAGGAGCTGCACGTATTCTGCGACGCGAGCGAGCAGGCATACGCCGCCGCCGCCTATTGGAGACTGGAAGAAGACGATGACATCGCCGTCGTGCTCGCCGCCGCTAAATCAAAGGTGGCACCCTTGAAGACTCAGAGCATACCGAGACTGGAGCTACAGGCGGCGGTCGTCGGCGCACGACTGGCCGACACCATCATCACCGAGCACGAGTGGGAACCGGACAGCGTTACCTACTGGAGCGACAGTCAGACAGTCCTCCATTGGATAAGAAACGACGCGCGTCGCTACACGCCGTTCGTAGCGCACCGCCTGGGGGAGTTAGCGGAACGCACCAGATCAAAAGACTGGCGATGGGTCCCCACCGAGCAGAACGTGGCCGACGACGCGACAAGGACCAAGCGGAAGAAGGTGACCGCGCAAGACAGATGGTTCATCGGGCCAGCCTTCCTACGCCAACCGAGACACACATGGGCGAAAGAAGAGTGCAGGAAAGAGGACGAAGACATCGAAGTCATCGGCTACACCACCGAGGAGCCGGAACCGTGCCTTCCCGACATCGGCCGCTTCTCATCATACGAGCGGCTCATCAGGACTACCGCATACGTCCTATTATTCGTCGACCGGTGTCGAAGACGCGCTACACGTCTCGAAGTCCGTCACTTAGAGGAAGCCGAACGAATATGGATAAGAAGAGTGCAACAAGATAGCTTCGGCACGGAGCTGAGAAGCCTACGCGATGGGAAGGCTGTAAATAAGTCGAGTCGACTTTTCAAGTTGGATCCCGTCATGAGAGACGGCACACTGCGCCTAAATGGAAGGATACGCGCGGCAAAGGTGTCCGCCGAAACGAAGGAACCCGCTATATTAGACGGCCGACACCCATTTACCCGCCTATTAATCATGAAGAAACATAGGATGGCGAATCACGGGGGGAGGGAACAAGTTGTCAATGACCTCCGCCAACAATACTGGATATTACACCTCCGGTCATCGGTACGGAAGGTGGCACGTGACTGCGCAACGTGTCAAATAAGGAAAACTCGACCGAGGACGCCGGTGTTCGGTGACTTGCCCGCTGCGCGAGTCGATCCATATCACCGGCCTTTCACCTACTGCGGAGTCGACTACTTCGGGCCGATGCTCGTGAAGATTGGACGACGTCGTGAGAAGAGATGGGGCGCGCTATTCACGTGCCTCACTACCCGCGCCGTACACCTGGAGCTCGTGGGGTCATTGTCAACCGACTCAGCGCTGCTGGCGTTGCGACGCATGGCTGCGCGACGAGGTTGGCCGAAGGAGATGGTCAGCGACAACGGCACCAACTTTCGCGGCGCCGATACCGAGCTACGCACCGCCTATGAAGAATGGAAGCCCGCGCTGGAAGACCTGGGGCTGCAGCGCCGCATGACATGGCGCTTCATACCACCCGGCGCGCCGAACATGGGAGGCGCATGGGAGCGGCTAGTGAGGTCGATCAAAACTGCCCTCACGGCCGTCCTGCACGAGAAGGCACCTGCCGAAGAGCTACTGCAAACCCTACTGATCGAGGCCGAGCACAGCGTGAACAGCCGGCCACTCACACATGTCTCCGTCGATCCGAGGGATCCGGAGGCCATCACCCCCAACCACTTCCTGTTGGGATCGTCGACGGGTCTGCCACACACCGGGCCCTGCGAGCCAGCCGACCGACGGACCTGGCGAGCCAGCCAGGGCCTCGCCGACGAATTTTGGAGAAGATGGGTGCGAGAATATCTGCCTACACTCGTACCACGCCAAGCCACAGCCGCACCAGGGGAACCGCAGCCGCAGCCGGGAGATCTAGTCATCGTCGTCGACTCAACACTGCCGCGTAACACATGGCCACGCGGTATCATCGTGGCAACCTACCCGGGACCCGACGGCCACACACGGAGCGCCGACGTCCGCACGAAGGGAGGAGTGTTTCGACGCCCTACAAGAAAACTCGTTGTCCTTCCGAGAAGCGAGGGCTGCGCCGAGGCTACGCCGGGGGGAGAGCTGTAAAGGACATCGAGCCGCGTTTCAACAGCAGCGCCACCAGCGGGACCACAGCGAAACCTTCCCCTCCCCGCGCGGTGCGGGGTAGCATACCCCCACTCTGCAAAATCTTATAAGATAACTGACTAATATATGAGCTAAGTGCGAGCAAACAAAATGTACTTAAGTGATCGGGTTTTTGCAATAAAGCATGTTCTGCCACTGAATGTTCTCCGTGTTTTCTCCGAACCAAGCGTTTTATTTGCGACCTCTGCTACCTACCTGTTGATAATCCAGCCTACAGTCCATCTGCTACATGCAGTAAATTAAGTACAGACGGCTGAACACGTCACCAAAATATATCAAATATCCGTATGTGATTTTGAACTCTATCTACAATACATTTAGATTTAAAATCAAGTGGAGAAATTTTACTGTTTTGCATATACATAATACATACATACTTTTGTCTGTTCATTTTTACCAGTGTTAATCTGATTTAAAAATAGCCTTAAACTCGACGACGAACGCAACGCCGTCTCCTTCTTGAAGAGGCAATAAAGGTTTTATTTCATTAAGCTTTATGCCGTGACAGCCGTGACCGAGGTCGACGTCGAATTAAAGGGTGTTTATTAGCAGAATAGCATTGCACTTAATCAAGGTTCGTGGGGAGACACAATAATGTCGCCGTATATGCTTTAAGCTTGATGACACAGTGGTTAGCGCGCTCGGTTTGCGGTACAGTTGCTAAGCAACTTTCACAATGGCCGATCATAGGATGGGTGACCAAAAATCTATTATCTGGAACTCGTCCGTGCTTCGCAAGGCACGTTAAGTCGTTGGTCCTGCCTGTATCTGCAGTCGTTAATACCCACCAATCCGCACTGCACCCGTGTCGTGTTCTCCCTATTGGATTCGGCTCGATTTCATCCAAAGGGGAGGATTGGCCCCAACAGTGAGGAGGGGATATTAATGGGCTGGAGATGATGATGATGTATCTCTTCTAATGAAGTTGAATTAAAAGCTTAAGTCTTTAAAATGTCCCTTTTTCTTTATTTATTATACATAAGTAAGTACATATATTATATAACACATAGTTAAGTAATATTCTAAAAAATAGTCTACGATAAAAACATTTGCCTACCTACATTGATAAAAAAACATTTAACGCCATTAGTGGTATTACATGAACCTACCTATAAATCGGAAACATTTGTACGTGACTTTATCAGTTATTTCATAACGTAAGAAAATAAGTTTTTGTTTCGAAAATTGGAATTAAATTTGAAAACGTAAGAGCATCAATTTTGATACAACAAAATATAACTTTTAGTTCTTCATTAATTTTTTAATCAAACTTATTTCCTTACATTCTTAAAATTTTTACTCATCATAAACTGTCTCAACTAACCTTTATAAGTTAACTACTTTCGAGAAATTCCGCAACGCGTTATCTATGCGGTAAATGACCAAAACTAATGATAAAAATAACAGAATATTTATGTACAATTGACACCAGCAATTGTAAAAAACATTCAATGTCAAATAATGTAAACGTAAAACATAGATAATCCACAATTATTATTTAAATAAAGAAAAAAAAAATAACTCAAATATTATTAAAATAATGTCATATAAAAATACGAAATTGTTCTACGCTAACCTCATTTTGCGTTTACAACCCTCGTGCATACATATTTAACTTTATTATATTATTATGACTTTGGCGGATGGCTGCGCCCGAGACCCCTTCGCCTCCTCTTTAGTCCGCCACTGCTGTCACATATTGGGAAACAATCCTTTTTCGTTCGTTCGGTAGAAGAACATATTATTTTACATAACTGCTTACAGAATTTTGTATTCAAAGTAATTTATCGCCAATTCCCTTCCTATATTTATACTGTTTGTAGAAGTAAAACATTTATCATTACCATAAGCAATTCATGCAATCAAAATCAAACCATACTAAAAGTTCACGTAACTATTTACAAGTTGTTACGGACGTCAAAACAAAAAGTCTTCTCAGATGTAATATCAGAGTGGCAATCGTTTTCAATTTTAATTACTTTATCAGTAAAAAATCCTTTTTTATTCATAATATCTTTGAATATCGCGTTCGTTGTTTGAAAATGTTGACCAGATTGTTCCGTTTCTACATTTTCCTCCTTTAAAATGTGATAATTTGTTTCATAAATTGTGTCTTGAGACTGTGATTGTTCGTTGCCGCAAATCACTTTGTTATAATAGTTGAAATAAGTCTCATCTCTATAAGTTTGGTTGTGAATAGTCGCTTGGTTTTGATTACAAATAGTTTCACTTTGGTTACCATTACTAACTGCTAGGTTTTGGTTTGAAATGGCAGTTTGATTATGGTTGATATCAGTAGCTGGGTTTTGATAACGAACTCTATGTTGTCTATGGTAACTACTGGCAGCCGTCAATAACATATTACCAAAATTGTCAGTGCTTTCTACAATATCGTAAATTGAATTTTGAACTTTATTAGGTTTTAATTGGTGTGTTTCAGATAAGTATCCTATTTTATTGCTATTGGTGTCTTTCCGTAGAGGAGGTTGGCTGAGTATTATGATTTGTTTACCGACTGATAGCAAAGGATTATTGTTACAGTTCTCTTTGTTCTTGTTCGCCATATTGTCTTCTTTTTTGTCTTTGGTTAGCGGTACAGTAACTGCGCCATTTTGTACAATTTCTTTAGTTCTTGTAAAATTGTCATTTGAAGATTTCTGTGATGGTTTCCTTGAAGCCTTAGAATTATATGGTCTTTTATCACTTGGTCTTTTTTTATTTGATACTGAAATATTGATAGAAAATTTGATTAAATATAGATATTCTAGTGCCTGCATGTATAGGTAGGTATGTAAAATGCCGGGTTCGATACTTCGCATAGGAAACGAATGTTTCTACTTAGGTACCCATATTGTCAATGATTTATATTTTTGATATTTGGATATGTGTGTTTTATGTAAGTAACATATAACTAGCTGTTTTTCTACGACTTTTGCCGGCCTATTTCACTCGCGTATGATGTAGCTTTCCATGAGAGAAAGGATTTTAAAAATCAGTTGCGTCGGATAATATTCGATGCAAACAAAGAAATAATCAAATCCATCCTCTTTATAATTTTTTTTTAATACTTCCCCATTGATCATTAAAAAAAATTATAAAGAATCGAAAACTTAAGTGACATTTAAGAACAGTTTGAGACATGCTTAGCTTTAAATACTCAATTCAGAAACCGGGTGATAGACAACCCTTGCGTTAAAGACCATCTGAGTGGTGAGTGTAAGTTTTACGTTAACGTGTTCACGAGACCGATAAGAATTTGCATGGAGATTGGTAGTTCTTGGTAGTTATAGCTAGGGGCGCTGTACCGGATTCCATTCTAAAATCTTAACGCGCTCAATCTCGATCGACGGTGAACGTAAGCGTCCAAAATAAGAAATAATTTTACTATGTCTACACTTATTCTAGCAAACTATAGTATTGCAAAAATTACAATTTACTATTAATAGCCTGTCAATGTCCTCAGGACCATAACCGACCACACAGACTCAGTTACGACTGCAGATGGGACGAGACCAACGATTTAACATGATAACTTAAGAAAGAGGTCAGAAATTTTTGAAATTAAAGAGGCTCTTTTTAATCTATCACTATAAAAGCCTGGAGTTCGGTAAATCTTAACAATTTTCCTGTATAATCCTAAACTTACCAATGTTTAATAGTAAAAGTTCGAACTGTTCTATGATCGTTGTTCATTTGGAATTTCAGATTTTACCAACCACTTTTACATGAACTCGATAAATCTTAGGTTTTACCTCAGGGGCACGGTAAATGTTTATAGACAAATCCAAACATAAAACACGGTTATAACATTTTTATAACTTATTGCCCATAGGTAATTAAGTTTATTGTTTGATAGATGATCAAGATATATTATAAATTTACTAAATGACAATAAAAATATCTTTATAATGATAATAAATACATTAATTAATTTAAGATTAAGAAATACGCATTGTTTGTTTTTTAATACTAACATTTACCAACCACTATTGGTCGAATTTAACATATTCCAAACTCCAATGAAAATCTTTTTTAACAGACTTCAATAAAAGGAGGTTCTCAATTCGACTGTATTTTTTTTCTGTTTGTTACCTCATAAGTTTTTACTGGGTGGACCGATTTTGATGTTTCTTTTTTTATTTGAATGCTGGTGCTTCCGGTGTGGTCCCATTTCAATTTTTCTTGAACAATTCGCTTTTGAGATAAGTATTATTTTTCACTTTTTTAAGTTTGAAGTTGGTTATATTTTAAAGTTTTTTTACCTTATATAATTTAATCCCAAGAGTTCATAGTAAAATTAAGATATACCAACACACGGGCTTTTAAAATAAAACATAAATCAAATAAATAAATATAACTTCACCTTTGCTTTCACTAGTTTTATTTTTCTTCAACCGGGCGTCGCTTTCATCAGATTTCTTACTGCATTTCCTCTTCGAATCTTTATGTGTAAAAAGGTTTAATTGGTCACAGAGTTCGTTTTCAGCTATAATCACCTCCATGGAAGCTAAAGCAGCATGGCATCTGGCGACAAGAGCTAACGTGTCCAATTTTTCCTTTTTCAATTTCGCCAATTTGATTCTCATTTCGGATTTTGTTGTGACGTTACGTTTCTCTATTTCCAGAACGTTTTTGGTTACATTTCGAAGGTTCTGATCAATATCTTCGAGGCGATTATGTTTTAAGTAGCGCACAGCATCAGATTGATTTTCAGAAAACATTTTTCAAGATTCTAATTCGAAAAGTTCGTATATTTTAGAAATTTTTTGTAGGCGCGACTTTTTTGTGGGTAGTCGCATAATTCATTATTGAAACGGTAGACGGTCAATCATCTGTGTATCAGAAACAGCGTCACGTCCTACCTCCGTTGCATCATAAACTAAATAAATGTGCTTCTTTCGAGTCGTATTAAAATTTGGAAAATAGACGATTTTTTTTCAGACGAAAATTTTCTTTTCAGATAAATGGAATAGGTCTTCAGGTGTCGTGTTTATTCGTACATAGTACCAAATATTTGTATCGTTTGATTATATTTTTGAAACTAGTTTTTAATTAATGTTGTCTATTTACAAAAATGCGTTTCAAATCCCGTATCTATGAGTTCAAAGTAACGCATAGGTAGTTAAAATTTAATTTAATAGACTCGCATATTTAATAAGGTTATATTCTAAATTAATAAAGACTTTAGTATCTCAAATAGAAAAATAAAATTAACTACCTAGTTATTACTTGTTTTTCCCCAAAAATTTAAAATTTAATTATTTTCAACTCAGCATATGTAAGATACATCATCTCCGTATTTCAATTACTAATTTGATATGTGTTGTTTTCAAACTGGTATGGCCACATTCTTGTCAAACCATTATCAAAAAATATGCATTATTCCACAATGTGAAATGCCTTTCGTCTTAGAAGTTTGTAATTTAAATAAATTTCAAAATCTAAAAGGAGATTCTTTATTCCACGGGTATTTTCACCAATTCCTTCGCTTAAACTATCTTTAGGTAATGGATTGTTTGTAATTACTTTAGGTAATTAGCAATGCCATTTAAATGCAACTAACTTGGTAATATTTTCAATTTTTACACTGGATGATAAGTGACATTTTTATGCAAGGCACTTTATAGCTAAAAGCTGCTAGAAATTTTGAAATAATTGCATAAAAAAATGTTTGCGGGTAATGGCTTGTTGACACGTAATTGAGTAGAACACGTGTAAACACACGAATAATAAGCAATTTAATATTTAATTCTAATTAAGCTCATAAGTAGTTAACTTTATTTTAACTTGCTACCTACTTATTACTTTTACACGCACTTTACTTAAAAATCTACTTACTACTTAATGACGAAAAAATCAGTCATAATTGAGGCTTCCCATTTATAGTAGCCCAAACTATAAAGTGAAAAAAAAAACATGCAATTTAATTGAAAACAAAAACGTTCCTTCAACCAAAATTTTATTGTCCATATAATAATACAACGAATAAAATTGGTGTTTTATAAACTTGTATCATTAACTAAATACATAAATGAAGAGCTCTCGAGAGAAAATAAAATAGTACATTATCAACTTGGATCGGTTGATGACGTTAAAAAGCAATAATAAGGAATCATATTTTCCTTTCAATAATCAGTTCTTTTTATAGTTCATAACATACTAAAGGCAGATCTCTTGGTGCGTTTGGTCGCAACAAATGAATTTGAAACTATCCAAATAAAAAATACCGACGCACTAATTATAATTTTTTTAATCAGGTAACATTTCAATCGAGTAACCAAATCCATCTTATACCAGTAAGAGGATTAGTTTCATTTTCCAGACTGCATTTGAAATGTAAAATTATTTCACGTTAGCAAATTGTGAGATAACTGCAAACAAATTGCAATAAAAGTGCAAACAAATTGCAATAAAACTGCAAACAGATTGCAATAAAACTGCAAACAGATTGCAATATACGTGTAAACTAATATAACCACAAACAAATAATAATATATCTGTTAATGTTTGATAGGTTTTTAATAAGAGATAACTCTTAGCGGTAACTCTTTTTAGCGTGTAATCTCCAAGTGTCGTGACTAACCGCACCAAGAGATCGCCTACAATTGGACTAATATATATAAATCTCTCTCCTTAAAATTGATTCGCACAAATATCGCTTTAGCGACCCGACAATAACGTACACATTTGTACGTACCAATCAGAGACTAACCACATCTAAAGATATCCTTAAGAATTTTTCTATCACTTCGTCCTTATCTATTGCACTCAAAATTTATTATACTAGAGCAAGAGAACTATAAGCAATCAGCTCTTTTTTTTTAAGCGTACGTATTTTATCCTTCGGGTTTGATAAGACGCTTTAGTGCAATAAAACGGGATAAAGTGAAACAGAAAAACACCGAAAGAGACAAATAGACCTCGTTAGTGCCTTAGAGAGCAACAATCATTAAAAATACTTCGCGTCAATAAGGCACATCAAATAGACGACAATCTATCCATTGGCATTTAGGTTTGTAGATATTGTAAAAGATTTCGTCGATAAAGTGATAACAACTCCCAAAACAAAATCCATATAATTGATAGACATTTACCATAAAAAGTAGGTAATAGAAATTTCTTGAGACCTATTTTAAATAAGAACAAGCGGAAAGCTTGTATATTAGAATTCTATTTGAGTACGCTCGTAAAACACATATTTAGAAGCTATTGCCACTTCATCGAGTACTATCAAATTAAATTATGTGATTTTTTTTTTATTTATTTAAAACATATTTTTCGCTAACATTAACAACTTTTTTATGCATGTATATACCGTCAAAGATGCGGCGTGACACTTTGTATACAAAAACATTAATTTTAAGAAATTAATTGCTTTCACGTCAACAAATAACTCATTTTATACGTAGTTATAATAGAGTTATGTTAAGATATGACTATTTTACAATTAACATTTAAAAATCTTTCTTTTACACTTTTGAAATCATTTGTAAATAGTGCAAGTGTATTTTTAATGTGCGTTAATGCGTCAAACGGTATTTTGCATTCAGTATGACCAGGGTTGCACCAGATTGTCCAGTCAGACCAACCAGTTAGTGAGAATAACGACAATCGGTCCAGCGTTGTCGTAGAACCGGTTTCGCTTGAAATAACCGTTAATTCAGAAAGACAACCGGTTAGCCGGTCGTCGTACAGGTAGTAATTTTACTGGTAGGTCACGTCCGACTGGACAAGCCGGCTGTCCGGACTGGTTACGATTTAATAGTCGTCAATGTCGTAGAGGTTGTCGATCTCCTCGTCGTCGAGCTGCATCGATTGGAAGTCTACCTTGTAACGGAGAAGACCTGTAATTTAAATAAGAAAATTAAAATATGTTAATATTTCGCCTGTCAACAAAAAAAAAACATACAAAAAGAATAATTAAACAGTCTGCGGTTCAAAGAAAAAAATGCTTTTACACGATAAAAACTATAACACACAAAAAAAAAAAACCAAAAATATCTTAGATATGACATAAATTGGTGGCAAAATGATAGAATTTATTTTTCCGGCCGTTTATATGAGAAATTATATCGAAAGATGCAACAATGAAGATTAAGAAAGTAATGATCACTTTCTATCATACCGTTCTAAAAATATTAGCTCGTAAACAAATATATAAATTCAAATACGCGAATCATCTAAGGTCACTCTCATATTATCGCTTAAATAATAATTCCGTTAGTCCAAAATAGGCCGTATAGCCAATCAAATTAGCTTTGCAACTCGGAATGAAAGATAATAAGATGGAAAGCAATATATAGTATTGCTTTCTTAGAATTCTTCTGTACACTTCTCATATAAACATTTCGTATTCTGAATAGTACAATAAAGATGTCCAATGACCATGTATTAAAATGTCTTAAACACAGAAATAAATACAAAAAAAAAACATCGATACATGCAACATTTACAAATTTTACTATGTTTTGCGCCGTGAAATAAGTTATTGATAAAATATTACCTGTAATCCCAATGAAAACATGCGTAGAAAATTTAGATTAAAATATTATTATGGGTATTAGATCACAGGCGTCGGGAATACAAAAACTGTCAACATGTTTATGATAATTAAATATCTCTAGTCGGTACCGGTATTGAAATAAACTTTACCGGTTCTGTGATGTCACTCTTTCAATACTATACACTTACTCATAATCTTCTTGATTCAAATATTTAGGTATACTGCGATATCAAGAGTCATTATAAATTTTAAACAATCGTCGTGGTAATTGTTAGATCTGCAAGGTAACTGCAAGGTAATGTACGTATGTATTTGAAAATCAAAATTTACTAAAAAGGAGTCATAATTACGAAAGAAAATAACATCATTGCCGTTTCAATCTCTTTTTTTTCATATCTCAGGAAAGCATACATTTTTCAAACCCTTCGTGTTTACATCGTTACACCGTCTTAGTCCTACGTTTAACAATACACATGTCCCGTTTAATATTTAGAACTCATTTAAGACTAAAATTGAAAACCGTTTAAAAATGTCTTACACTAATAAAATTCCCTTTCTTTTGCGCATTAAATGAAAAAATAACAATATAGATTTACTTTTTTTCGTTAACAGTGAGCCAATTGGTATAATTACACTAATAACTTAAGTTTGAATAAAAATGAAAACCGATCACAAAGACATTTCCTTGCGAATTGCACTCAATAAAATTAACCATATTTTACTAAAGTAATTAAAGAAAGAAGATGAGACTAGTACATATTATGCAAACTAAATTTGATTTGATTGACAAACTCAAACGATGACTGTTGTTTTAGATTCATCTTTCATTTAAATTTTGTAGCTTTTGTTAAGTAACATCTTAGCATTTTGGATGTTTGACGGTTAGTGAGGCACAAACCACCGTTACTAGAGCCAATATTGTTATTGTTGTTTGCATAATGATGTCTCTGTTCAAAGAGGAAGTATTTAAAAAAAATACTAATACAAATGCTGCCAGTTGGCGGTACTACGCGAGACACATTTCTGTTAATTCATAATACGAAACGACGTCAAAATGGACAAAAATAGTAATTTAAAGAAATTCAATTTTCGTTTACGAGAAAGAGTATCGCAACGCGGCTTATAATTTCCGTAGCATCCTTTTTTAATACATAAATACTTCCTCGATGGATAATCGTGAATGCCATACACAAAATAATGTATAAAAAAGACCGGTTAATAATAACAAAAATCTTTTGTGAAAAAGTGCAATATCTCAAGGGATCTTTCAAATAACACTTCGTTTCCTTTTCATTAGCAAACACTAACCGCAATCACAACATCGCCCACACTTTCTAGGTGGTGTACGTCTCGCTTCAAATCAAGAAACACATTGAGAAGGTCAACTGTCGGGCTAGAAGATTGCGATTATACAATGTATGCTTCTCCTAAACTTGATTATATATTGTGGTACTATATCGGTGTACCAGTCCAGAAATTTATGTAAACTGCTAACGCTACCGTTTGTTGATTTGTCGCCATGCCATTTCATTTTAATATATACCGGTAATAGGGTAACCGGTAATTTTATTTTATTTTCAATTATATCTCTTTAACATTCATTGTGGTACAACAATATATAAAAGTACAAAATGTACAAGTCATCGTCCCATTGATAAGTATATTAATTCGTAATTACCTATTTATTATTTTCTGAGCATGTGCTAAATGTAACAATGCACATGGCATTGTAACACTTCTGAGCTGACACCGGTTAAGCCGGTATTACTTAATTACCGGTATACATATAATAAATTACATACGATACATGAGCAATCTTATATTCTAATAATAAAGAGTTAACTCTTTATTATGTAAAACTAAAGTTTGCTGGATCGATTGGTCAAATTAATCTTATTATTGTAACTCAAAATGAAGACCATATTATTTTTATGGAAGTTAAACAGAGATAGAAAACACAGTAAAATACGAAATAAATTGTTATAAAATATGATCCCGTCTTAAATACTTTTACAACACAGTTGAAACCTATAAAAACTAGATCACAATGTAAGGTATATTTATTAACCAGACAAAATATTGTAGTTGTATATTCGACCTACGAAATAATCTAGCAAAATTTATTGGGCTATGATCTTGTTTGAAAATATTACTACTGTCTAGAGAAGCCACATCATCAGGTACACTAAATCCTACACGAAATTTGCTAGAAAGTTACATGTTCCGTTAGGCTGGATTTAAAACCTGACATATGGTGAACGTGTATAGTGCGCGCTGACTGTACGCATTGACCGTCCTTATTTTAGATTTAGTGCTGGACTGACGACGAACAATTAAAAAGGAAAATGAATTCATTTGTTAACTCCATAATATGTGAGTAACATTTATGTAAAAGAAAGAAAAAAAACCACGTTGATCCGATAAAAACAGATGGGTTAATTGAATCAGAATTTATTACACTATATCCAAAGTTACGATTGTACCAGGAATACTTAATTTTATTACTTCAGTTTGTCAATTAGCAGTTTTGATGAACTACTAGCAAAAGTTCAAGATAAATTAGAGTATCACAACATGTATCGTCATTCAGGGTCACCAGCAGAAAGATTGTACTTCAGTTAAGACACGCCCAGTATAAATATTTTTTTTTACTATGTTAAGCGGCTAATTTATGTTTGTTCGTCCTTCAGGTTGGAAAATATTAAAGACTTGTTTTTTTCGTAATATGTTTAAATGAATATAGCTACGTTCGACCGATGTCAGCGCTGACCGTCGGTCGAGCACTAAATCCAGCCTTAATGTTACTTTTACCAGAATACCGGTAAATTACAAGACTACCGGTTAAGTTAATCAAATCGGTTTTCAAATAATAAAATTTGTTTGTAACGACATAATTACATGACCTAATATTGTAGTTTTTCTCTTCTAGTTTCATTTATAATTTACTTTCGTACCTTCCTAGCACAATTCGAATGTAAACTACTTAAAAGTCTATATATTTCTGGACTGGTCACATAAATTGTGATGGTGGTCTATGCAATATATATATATATATATTTATATATATGGTAGAGCTACGTTGTAATGTATATGTTATATATTTTATATGTTTAGGACAATATCGTATGGCAGCGTATACTGAAATTTGACAACACTACTTTCTGCTGCTGATTTTCAAAAACCTGTCATAAGCGATTCGGACACTACCATAACTACAGATTGTAAATTATGCAGAATTCACATTACACTTAAAACTTATTTAATCACATGTATGATATAATATTATTAATAGGGAAGATTTGATTGCTTGTTTGTTTGCATGAAAATGGGAGGGGAACTTTGTATGGGGATTTAAAACGTTACCATAGTAACCATTGTTCACTATTCAATTTGTCATTGTAATTATCATCCGTGTCATGATATGAATCGATATACAAATAAACAGTTCCCAAGAGACCACGCGGGCGTAACCTCCGACGGAAAGGTAGTGTATGATGAAACTTTAAATCTCAGAATAAAGCTGCGATGCTGACGGGAGCCATAATTTCAGACATAGTGTAGATTTTACACAATCAGGAAATAGTTTCATCACACATGACACTAATTTCATAATTAAAATTATGTCCGTTAGGTTCTTGATCCCTCCTAAGTTGGACAATCTTTTTCCTGACTGTTTTCATTATTGGCTTTACCCGTAAGAAGCATTAAAGACACGTGAGTCTATAGAGACTTTATTTATTATAAATGTAATTCCCATGCTGTCTGTCTAAACTATCCAACAGCAAGTTTTCACTCAATATGTACAACCATTCGATTTCATATTAGTGAAGTATGTATTTCGATTGTTGATGTCATCTTCTTCCACCACTAAGTAACGCTCGCAACAACATCTTATACGTTTATTATCGTATTATCTGAATCATTGTTTTTTTTTTTTGTTATATATATATTTGTTTTTATTAAGCTTAATAATCTTTACGTAATAATAATCAACAACATCAACACACAACTCAACATTAAGTGACGGAATTTAAAGAAAAATTAAATTATGATTTCTTTGCCGACGCTATCAGTTGATGTCACATGACTTCATTTACGGTCGTTAATGGCTCGAAGCGGACGTCTAGTGATTTTCCTTAATGATAACAGCTTATGGAATGGATGCTATCCATTTGTTTGTTAATTTAACTATTTTATAAAATCCATTCGGAATGTGAAATAGCTGAAGCTTAAGTGAAAACAGTAATAGGGATGACGTCTATTTTTTTTTTGTTTGACCGTCTGGTATATTATTAATATAAAATATTTTTATTTTTTGCGTAATCCATACATTATGGGGAT